TCTTTTCTCTTAAATATCAAATTCAGCATTCAGGACCGTCCTAGACGAGGCTGAGTTTCAAAGAAAAGAATTTCTCAGGAAACAAGGTGAGTAGCTGACTGGCTGTCCCACCACCGGCACAGAACGAAGACGTGTGATTTGAGTATTTGTCTAGTGCAGAGCCGACGTGACGCCCAGTGGCCCTGCAGGCATCTTAGGTGATCAGGGAATCAGGTCATTTCTGCGCTGTGGAAATTTGGGTACTTTTCTGCTTTGCTCTTTAATGTGCTCTGTCTGTATTTTTTTCCTGCTTCTACCTTTAAAAGCCCCAGATATAATGATAATAATCTTCACATTTCCTGCTGTGGTCCTTGTCAAGGGAATGGTCCCTGTGACCACACTCCGTTGACCGAAAAAAAAAAAAAAATCAGAAGATGGGTCATGAGGTACAAGATCAAGATATTAGTTTTTGTTATTTTTAGTTATTTTTATTTCTAATAGTCAAAAACATTTTATTTCACTCATTTTCACATGGTGAACTTTTTTTTACCAACCTCGTAGAATGTATTTATATGAAAGAAATCAACACATACTTTCTAAACCCACTTTGCATTTTTATGTTGAATAGGAAAGCGGTGTTATTAGCATATGGCTGACCTCCGCACTCATTTCAAACAAAAATGGTCGATATTTTGGGAAAACATTCACAAATCCATCTTTGCATTGGAATGCTCTATAAATAAGTGTTGACAGAATTGCCAGGTTTTTACCTAAAAAGCTGTCTTTGACCTCATCTCTATTCTCTTATTTTAAAGGTTTTATGTACTATGTTGTTTAATAAAACTTAAGCATTTGTCTTGAGGAAGAGAATGTAACGAGTTTAATATTCTTTTTAAAGAGCAATAGAGATGAGATGTCAGCAAGAAGGGACGATCGGACAGTCTGTTCCTGCCGGGAATTGCAGATTCCAGAATTAACACGTGGTTTCAGAGCCCTGGAAATCATCTCAGTTTCATAATGTCAGAAATGCGTTATATAAATACGTATAATACAGACCCACGGTGCATATACATGCACCCCATACATATATGTATATATCATGTCTGTATCATGTATTTATTGATTTATTTATTTTACTTCTTTTTTCCTTTTTTAAAACTCGTTTTCCGCTTTTCCCTCCGTAGGCCCCCACTTTGCCGAGTATTTGCACTGGGACGTCACAGAGGAGTGTGAGGTCCGTCTCGTCTGTAAGGTGAGAAACACAGTCCTGCCTTTCAGGGGAGCAGCTGGTCAGACCCCCGCCGAGGGCGGAACCGGCAGGTGCGAGGGGCAGAGCGACTTCCGGGTCTCGTGGGCTGCGCGGGACTCAGACGTCGGTGCTTGTCATCTCTCCCCCTCGAGGAGAGCACGGTGTTACACATCGACAGAGGGTTTGATCACAGACGGTCACTTACGACTTTAGCGCAGAGAAAAGTCGAGGGAGTTCAGAGAAGAGACAGATGAGTTATTTAAGGGGATCAGAACCCCCACCTGCAAGACAAATCCGTTAGTTGAGGATAATTATTTTGCAAAACAGCAGTTGAAGCCAGTGGGGAGGCTTTTGTTTAGCGCACGAAGACCTACAGTGTAAAACGTCTTTGAAGAAGAGAGTAGAGGAAGGGGTTGGAGTCAGGAGATGGTAGGAGGTTGGATCGGCCCAGAAGACGGACACCAACTTTGAATGTTAGGACGGCGGAACTCGTCTGCTGGAGACACGTGGTGGCTTCGGTCCATTCTCGGAGTTTTCGAGGAGTGGTTCTGACTTTGGAAGGAGGTTGCTGCTTTCTGGGCCAACGGGACACACTCCCGGCGTCTGTCCCACGAGCATTTATGGAGAGACTTCTCTGTGCTGGGCAGGCTGCCGTGCCCTGGGTGGGGCAAGTGTGAGCGAACAGATAAAATCCCGAGTTACGAAGATTATAACCCACACACTCCATTACACGGAATCAGAATTCCTTCTCCTCCCTAAGACACGCGCCTCGGAGTGTGCGAACTGCAACGCTCACCCACCCTGGAATTCTGAAAAGCTTCGTATCTAATTCAAGCTAAAGCCAGCGACTGAATTGTGAGGAATCTCAGTGCAGGGAACGTCCTCATCTCCATGGGGCTGTTTTGGGTTAGGTTTCGTCTCCTCTGTGTCCACGCACCTGAAATGTCATATTGCCAAAAGAGCAGCCTCTAGATAGTTTTACAGGTCTCTAAGAATATTCTATATTATTTGCAAATCCCAAAATACATTGCTTATGACTTGTCTTTATTAGTGACGATTCATATAAACGAAAAGATCTTTACGCCTCTAATCTCATAGAATAAGAATTGGCCGTCCTTCCCTGTGTACCTGTGAGGGCTTAATTATTTTAGAGGCTGGGATTTAGAAATGTATTTGCTGTTATTGAAAGTGACAGCTTTTCCATGAGCCTCTGTCTGACACACAGTAAAAATTGATTTTTTTTTAGGTCTGTTATTTGAAATCCTAATAGACTTTTTTTTCTCACGAGCCAGGGGGATTCACATACTAAATTTTAGGTTTCTGTCTCACAGGTTGCAAACACCAAGAGAGAAACAGTTTTCAAATGGCTCAAGGACGATGTTCTCTACGAAACGGAAGCAGCGCCTGACTTGGAGAAGGGGGTCTGTGAGCTCCTCATACCGAAGGTATCACGTGTGGAATAAAACAAGGCAGAAGCCAAGCAAAAAAAAAAAAAATAGCACTTTCAAATAACTTGTAAATAAACTCTGCATTCTTCTAATTTGCATCCTGAATTCCCAGGATTTGCAAAGAAGTTGCATTAACATTTATCACATTCTGTGTTGGGGTATTGACCGTACATCAATGTGTGGGATGTGTTTTGTCTGTAGCTGTCAAAGAAGGACCATGGTGAATACAAGGCCACCTTGAAGGACGAGAGAGGCCAGGACGCTTCTGTCCTCGAAATCGCTGGCAAAGGTAACAGGAAATCTTCGAACTGCTAAAGAGAAATATCCATTTTGCTGATGGGATGGGACACATTAGCCGTAGCGCACATTGTTTCTTTAGCTGTAACACTGTAGAGGAAACTGTATTTGTTCTTTAGTTGCATTCACAGGCTTTCAAATATTTTATAAAAATGTATGCATGCTATTATTTTGGGCCTATACGAAATGTCATTTCAGCCCATCATCAGAAGCCAGGTTTTACCCCATTACTAATGCAGTTAAAATGATTGAAACACTGTTGCAGTGATTTAATTAAATATATAGTTGGATTTATGTTGAGTGAAATGTTCTTGTTCCTTGTTTAAATAGTGAACAGGTGAGAAGGATTTATCGCACACATCAGCCTTTTATGGATAAATATCGCCGTTTTAACGATCCATTTTTCAAAGGAACATCACCATTTCCTGTATCAATTTAATTAAACGCTGAAAATGCTGCTTTCTGTTAAAATTATGCATTGTAATGGCAACCTTCTCCCTTCTCCTTTTTAGTGTATGAGGATATCCTTTTGGCAATGAGCAGAGTCTGTGGTAAGTAAATGCCTTCTGGTTTGCAAGTCATTTTGGGAGCTAACATCGCTGTTTCCTGAGAAGGGCAGTCACGGCTGCATAGCAGGAAGCTGATGGAACCCCAGTGCCACGTCCTGTGACGGGCCCTGGGTTACAGGGCAGGACAGTTACCTGCTGCCTGGCGACACTTTTTCTTAAAGGGCTTTTCAGCATCATGTTTAGAGTCTGTGTTTTGCTTTAAGAAGCCCCACGTGGACTCCCATCCACTCCGCCTTAGGTTAACTCGGACGCCTGCTTTGTGCGCAGTTGCTGTGGGTAGCAGTGTGGGTAGCAATGATGGATTGTTAAGCCTCTCACTTTGCGTCATATGTGTTAAACCGTGTTAGCTTTACAGACAAATTCCCCCTCCGCATTGGCCCTTCCGTGGAAACTGTGAGAACGAAGATATTAGCTATGAATTCGAGAATAATAGCTTATAGGTGCATAGCGCTTTATACTAACCACTGTACGATTTTTTAATTACTGTGGGCTCTCTAGAGGTTACCTAATTTATACCTTCAGAGCAAGTAGCTACATCGTGGGCAGTCAGGCGGTTTAACCGGGTAGGCAGCCGGGAGAGTCGGACCCCAACCGGAAGCGAACACGTCTCTGTCCCAAGCTGCACTCTTATCTCACAGTTTTTCTGGCATTCTTGCGAAAACCACTTCATGCTGACTTTTCATTGCTTTCTCAGAACATCTCTATAAGGTAAACTTTATTTCTTTCTGCTTTTGCTTGGGCAAAATGGCACATTTTATGCGAGTTTTACTCTCGGTCATCCTTCATGGGCCAAATACCACTTCCTGGATATGCCAGCCACTGTATGAAGCTAAATCAAGCCCTTTAAAAAGTGACTTCACTCTTTTTTGAAAAATATTTATTTATTTTTAACTGACAGAAGATAACTGGGTGTGTTTACAAGGCACGACGTGGTGTTT